TATAAGTATATTTATCAAATATTTTTAAATATATATATTCCTCACTATTTTATCTATCTTTCTAATATTTATTTTTGCTCAAATAAATAATATTTATATATTATTTTGATCTTTTTAATGTGGTATATTAAACTAACCACTGCCACTTAACAACAATATTTTTAATATTTATTTTTTTAAATAATTGATAAATTTTGCCAACTCATTTCGCAATAATTTTAGCTTGTTATATATATGGATGATTATCTGGACATTCCATCTGAAGGTTCTTCGTTAGACAACTCATCCACTGATTCCGAAGATGATTATGAATCGGATACACGTTACCAAATTGATAGTGATGATTATGAATCGGATACACCTTATCAAATTGAAATTGATGACAATTCTGAACAAGATGCGTATGATCAATCTGCTACAAACCATAATAATCCTATCTGGTCCAAGAAATATTCTTCACAACCAGCATTAGAATTTGATAAAATATCAGGTCCAATATCATCTTTAAAAACGGACCCATTGTATCCATCAGATATATATAAGAAATTTATTAATGATTCTCTAATAAATACAATTACATTCAATACCAATTTATATGCCCAACAAAAAAATATTAAATATCAACCAACTAATCCTACAGAAATAAGAAAATTTTTATGTCTTCATATACTCTTTGGAATTAAAACTATGGCAAATTACAAAGATTATTGGAGTTCTAAACCAGAATTCCATGACAATTTTGTTTCATCCATAATGAAAGTAAAACGTTTTATTTGGCTTATGGCCCACATCCATATAAATGACAATATCTTAGAACCATCGAGAAATGATGAAAATTATGATAAATTATACAAAATAAGACCATTCATTGATAATATCCGTTCCTCTTGCTTGAAATATTTTCTTCCCTCGGAATATCAAGCAATTGACGAAGGAATGATTAGGTTCAAAGGCCGTATAGGATTTAGGCAATACATGCCTAAGAAACCCACGAAACGCGGTTTCAAGGTAATGTGTAAATTTTGTCATTATTTATTTCGGCTAAACTATATTTTTAGGTTTGGGTGAGATGCGATAATTCAGGATATATGAATGATTTTAATATCTATGTTGGGAAAAATAAAGAGGTTGAAAGTAATCTTGGTTATAATGTTGTAACAAAGTTTTGTGAAGGACTTCAAAATCATAAAATATTTTTCGATAATTATTTTACGAGTTATACTCTAATGGCCGATTTAAAAAAGAAAGGTATATATGCTAGCGGAACACTAAACAAAAATAAGAGATACTTGCCCATAAAGAATATGGAAACAAAATTAAAAAGAGGTGAGTTTGACTGGAGAAGTGACAAAAATAATATAAGTATAATTAAATGGCGAGATAATCGTGACGTATTTATAATGTCCAATTATATTGATCCGAGATCAGTGGATACTGTGAAGAGAAAAAATAAAAAAGGGGAAGTTTTTGACGTAAAATGTCCAATAATGATAAAGATGTATAATAAATATATGGGGTCTGTTGACCATTTCGACCATTTAAAGTCTTTATATGAAATTTCGCGAAAGTGGCGAAAATGGTGGCTACCAATATTCTTTTGGCTGATAGATGCGGCGATTATCAATTCATTCATAATATACAATATTCTTACAGATAATAAACTCTCATCGAAAGAATTCCGAAGACAAATAATTGCTAGCGAATTGGCATACTGTAAAAATGTTAATAGGGATGATAATATTCATAATGATAATAATTATATATCAATGCAAAGAAAAAATAATAAACCTTATATCCTTCCAGAAATTAGACTAAAAAATTCAGCTCATCAACCTCAGGCAGGAACCTCACGAAGGTGTACCTTCTGTAGTACAAAGTTAAATCCCAGAAGAACAAGGTGGTCGTGCAAATCATGCAACGTACCACTCTGTCTAAATAAAAATAGAAATTGTTTTGAAAGTTTCCATAAGGTGTCAATGATATGAATTTAAAACCACCAGGGAGAGCCGCCATTTTGAATTTAAAAAACTTTTTTTGTGTGTTTTATATTATATTATATTAGAATCAATAAAAAAATTAGTAAATATCGTGTTGCATCATATTAATTTTATGAGGGAACCTAAAGGGTTAAGAGATTAAAAAAGTTAAAAATATGTAGAAGATAACATTATAAGGAGAAAATTGGGACTTTTCTTTTTTTGAATGGGAAACCCTGTAAATAGTTATTGTATATAAAGTAGAGATCTGCCCTATTTTTTAAAAAAAATCAGGCTCGGGCTGGGTCGCGTCTATTATTTTTTAAAAAGATTCAGGCCAGGCCTTAGAATTTTTTTTTAAATATATCTAAATTTATCAATTTCATGTTGAATTTTTTATGAAAAATAAAAATATTTAATTTTATTTATAGAAACTTGAAGCCATATAACATATATCGTTTATTTTGAATTATTTATAAAAATTAATTTCTATATTTATAATAAATTCGGGCCGGGCCGGTAAATTTTTTCAAAAATAATTTCAGGTTCGGGCCGGCAAAATTTGTTAAAAAAATTTCGGACTGGGCCGAGCTTGAAAAATTAGGCCCGATGCAGATCGCTAATATAAAGTATTGATTAAATTTAAAAAAGGATTGCTTCAAATAGAGGATCCATAATTGTTCCTAGGAAGTAAATTTAACTATAATTATAAGAAAAACGTTTAGTATTATATTGCATCTTTCATAGTTTGGATACCTTTATAAATTTTATAAAAATTATAACCAGAGATGTTTAGAGGGGGGTCTAACCCTCTCCCTGCTAATTTTCTTGATTTTTAACATATAGACTGAGGTTCACCACTAATAGATAGTAGTGATAAATAGCTCCTTTTTTTTAGTATTTGAGCTAACTCTAAAAAGGTTAAACCAAATTTTTAAGCAAAGACTTTCATCTTATCTTCGATAAAGATTTAAACATAAAGGATACTTCAATCTTGAAAAAAATATATACTCTCGGCTATGGGTTTTGTGAATTTTTTCGATTGATGGGATTAAGCCAATTAACAACATTACAGGCCAGAAATAGTCCAAATTTACTGATGTTGCTCGATTCAAAAATTAAACTTTTATTTAAAAATATCCAAAACTAGTAACATGCAGTCCTGTCTTATGAATAGATATGAAAATGAGAGTAAAATGACTTGAATAATAAAATTATTTTTTTATATAAAATATTTCCAATATATTCTTAAATAAAAAAGAAACTTGGCCTATAAACTTAGAAGTATGATTTGGCGGGAAGCAAATACAAAAAAAATCAGCCAAATATTCAAATTAAATGAATATGAAATATTTCTGAGTTTTGACCATATTTCGATGAAGATATTCCTATTGAAAAATTTAAAAAATTCCTTAGCAGTTACTGTCTAATTTGAAAGGGACTTTCATCTTATGATTTCAATCATTGTAAATAATCGAGAGAGTTTAAAAGTAAATGATCTGCCAAATTTAATTTTTATAAATATTAATGGACCTTCAATATTGGAATGGATTCCAGATCCATGCATCAAAATATGGGAAAGGAATCATTGTGGAGCAAATATAATCTTTCAAAAAAACAACCAAATGAAGAAATGAGAATGGAAATTTTCTAAAATTTATATTTATATGTATTTTTAATTTATAAATATATTGGTGTGATTAAATTTAATTATTTTTAAAATATAATATAAATAAATAATTTATTCATATTCATAATAAAAAAATTTAATAATATATTTTAAAAAATTGTAGCCACCCACCCCATCAAATTCTTAAGCAATACACCATTGTCCATTGACCATGACACCATTTTATAGTTTGTATTGGCAAATTTAATAATAAAGATAAATAATCGGCCCAATCTAATAAAAAATATTGATACACCTCTGTCTGAGAGTAATAAAAAAACAATAGTATATAATTAAAAAATTTAAGTAAATGACATATTTATGTATTAATTTTTCATTAAGAAATTATTTTTAATGGGGGGGGGGAGCTGATTTTGAGGGCCTGGGTCTCAAATATTGTCCCATCACCCTGCCAGATGGTCCAAAGCCCAGCTATAATTTCTAAAAACATTGGGCTTGGTTCAGGCTTAATTTTTTTTTAAATTTAGTCAAGTATAAGGTCATATTTTTTCTTAAATTTTGTGGGCTCAAAAAATATTTTATAAAAATAAAATTGAAAATGTATTATTAATTTTGATATTATAATAAAATTATATTTAAAATTTCACTGGAATTAAGACAAAAGAATTTTTTGATTTATCTTTATAAAAATGTGTTATTTATATTTTTTAATAATTCTTTGGCAGGAGTCAGGACTTATAAATTTTGGGCAAGGCCCAAGTAAAACTATGGGTTAGATCAGGTCAAGTAAGAGTCAGGCTAGGATTTAAATTTAATAAAAATTATGGGCCTAAATAAAATTGAATTTGTATGACTCTACACCCTATGAAATGGCTTTGGAATTTTTTTTACTATTTATTAAATTTTAATTAATAAAGGATGAAATTTGTGAAAATTTAAACAAGTTTAAGTTAAAAATAGACTTCTAGCTACTATAGTAACTGTATATTTACTATTTATCATGCATTTATTGTTAGTTATTTTTATGTAATTGATTACATTAATTAACTATTTGTCTTGCATTTAATTATTAGTTATTTTCATGTATTTTATTTATATTATTATTTATTGTTTGTTTTAATAATAAATTACAATTTATTACACAATTATAATATAAAAGTAAGTTATTAACCTATGGTATTTGTTATTTTATATTATTATTATAAATAATATAATAGTATGTATTTTCGATATAATTGGAACTTACATATTCTTATTTAGAATAAAAGGATTAAGGTATTAAAATGTAAACAAATTTATAAAGGCTACATCATTAAGCTTTATATGCCTAAAAATTTCAAAAGAAATCATTAAGAAGCTTTTTATTAATAAAACTAAATTTTATTATATATTACCAATTTGGCTCTATCTTCAGGACTCTGATATAATTGTTTATGTGATGGCAATTCCTTTCTTTGAAGATAAGGTTCAATAGAAGCATACTGTTGGTAAAAATTATTCATATCTGGAACTAAATCCTTAATAACAAACATATGTGGAAGTGGATATATTTTAGTAACATTATAAGTTTTATCTATACTCATGGTACATGCAAGTGTATTGGATCCTGATATATTCATTGCACATGAGCCACATATACCTTTAAAATTTTATAGTAAAATAAATAAGAATAAGAACCCTCTCGACATGAACGTCTAAAAGTTAGTGTTGGATCAATTTCATTTTTAATTTTAATCAATGCATCAAGGACCATAGGCCCACATCTTTGTATAGTATTACAATAAAATTCCATTTATTATTTACTTATTTAAATCCAGCTCATAATTTTGCATATATGGTGTATTCTTTATACTTGGATTCTTTAAATATTTATTAGATACAAAATTTACAATGTAATATAAACCCAGCGATAGACTGAAAATATTTTCTTTGGATTTTTATCATGTGTAATGGCTGAAGATGATGTTGTATAACTAGCAATTGAATTTACTAATAAGCCTCTGATATTAACACATTTATATATATAGCATAATGAAAAATTCTTAAATTGTAGAGCCATAATAAAGATAGGTGTTCTTTGGATTTGCCTAACTATGATCGTAAAGTCATATGATCGTAAAGTCATATGATCGTAAATTTATTCCATTTTTTTCTGATTGGTCTATTTTAATCGCGGTAAATTCATTCATTCATTCATTCATTACTACGCCAGTTCATCACCCACCAGGAGTTGTAGCGTGCACCAAGTATATTCACTAGTATATAGATCCTATACATGATGTATACCCGTTTTATTATAGTGGACGGTACCACTATTTAGTCAGCTAGCATAGTAAAGAAGAGAGGAGTAAGAAAGAGGGGATCTATTAGTTCCGTTACCGGCAAGATAGTGTTAAGAATTGTAACCAATATCAATAATAATGTACCTGACGCCTGGTAAGATATTTAAGAGATGGAAAAAAAGTAATTCTTATGTTAGGTAATTTATCCTTATAAGATAACATTATATCTATATAACGTGTTCTATTCCGGAGACATCCAACTTCCATGTAATTGTAATCCCAAATCCTGACCCATTATCCTAAAGAGCATACTAAATTTGTCTGATATTTACCTTCTTTTTACCTTAATTATTTTTGTCATTCTAGAGTCAATAGTGCCCCATAAATCCTAGAATTATTTCCTAAACTTTTACATTGAATTCCAAAATCGTAATATTGACTCTAGATTTTTGTAAAATCAAAGGATAAAATCATATAAAACATTATGCTTAATATTGTAGCTGATAATTTAAGACAATTTATTTAAAGAAGAAATGCATCATTGCAAAGTATGATATATTATATTAAATTTAAATTGATTAAAAAAAAATATTTTTAGATAACCCAATCAAATATATCAAATCTAATAAACGTAAGGATATACTCTGCTATAACCTATTGCAATATACCATACCATACATAGAAAAGCTGAGCCTACAGTGGTAGAACCATGCTTTAGTTGTCCCCACCGCTGCAGAAGGAGAGATTGTAAAGGCAGAGGTAAATTAGTAGGTTGTTAATTTGAAGTGACACAAAATCATCTAACAGCTGAAGGTATATTTAATACTAAGCCTATCTAGATAACTTACATTAATTTAGGTAGATTCTCGATGTATATCTTGTACAGATCAGAATACTAACATACCCAGTAGCTCATCTAGTAATCAATAATTAACTAATAAAATAATTATTTTTGAATAAACAAGCTAATACAACCCAACAAATAAAACCACAACAGATACAGCCCCAAAAATTACACCAATTACCAGAAATAACTTTTATACTTCAGTTTCAAGTAACAAAAATTGTATAAATTAATAATCCATAGGCGTAGCCGGGGGGTGGACAATGGGAAACCCCCCCCCCCCATTCAGAAATTTATCACTTTGTGAATATCATTTTAAACTAATAAAAAATATCCCCCTTAGTCTTCCCCCCACTCCCTGACCCACAAAAATGTATGCATATATCTTAAACAATAATTCGAAAGAAAGAATGTAAAAGTTAATATTTTTTTTATAAACTATTCATCATAATTTATACATTTTTGGAAAAAAGCATTTATTTATAAAAAAAGTGAACCAAAAATGTTTTTAAGAAATGGAATATAAGCCAAAGATAAGTCTAAAGGCAAAAGTGAAATGTATTATAATTATTAATAATAGATCCATAAAATTACTAAATAATATAAGATATCAAATATAATTTTTTATAAAGTGAGTAATTTTAATTTATTTATCTTAATAAAAGTAAAATATAATTATAAAACTAATGATGAAATTAAATCATAAATTAAATAAAAAAATTAAAGCACAATACAAACAGTGGAATATTATATGTCCTAGATTACATTTACAATATATCTAATTTTATCAATTATCATATGACAATCAAGTAATTTTTACCAATATAGGGAATCATATATTTTACAGAAAATTATATAATATTGATTAGGACATCAGAAAATATCTTTTAAAGACATTGTGAGATAAATAATATGAAGATTAATTTTTAATATCATCATTTTTTAATTAAAATAAATCGATGGCGTTAAATAATTGAATGCAAATTGTTGCTATATTTATTATCAAGAGCATTGATTAGTTAATTTGTTAAAATACTAACTGTAATATATTCTCTAACTATCAAATATGTCTGTGAAAGTGAAATTTTACCTAGTATTTTGTAACTAATGTATAATAGAGGAATATCAACTATATGACTACTTACTTTTTATAAATAAATTTCTTATACTTGTTAAGAATATTAATATGTATGAACTTTAAATTTGACAAATTAATTACTCTTCACACTCAACTGCAGGAGCGTAACCAGGAATTTTCAGCTAGTGGGGTCAGCCTCTTACTTGAGGGGGCCACTATTTTTTTAAAATAAAACAAATAATTAAGCATTCATAGAAATTTTTTGCTATTTTTATAAAAAATTTATTAATGTAATATAAATACAAAATAATACTATAATATGAATGAACAAAATAAAACTATAAATTTTGTATTATTATTTTTCCATAAGCCATCAATACTAAATTTTGATTACGTTGATCTTTCATCGACTCTCATACTCGATACTCTCTTTATTATTTTTATATATAATATTTAGGATATTTTCAAAATTATGTGTTTCTTTAAATTCTGCAGCTAAAAATCTTTAGCTATTTCCATTTCATGATATAAGTTTCATATTTAAGTTTAATAATGATTCAAATCGGGCCTTTTTATCCGATATAAAATAATCAGGAGCAATATTAAAACATGATAGAAGATTATAATCATCTTGTGTAAATCTATCTAAAAAACGATCAACACAAAGTAATCAATAATTTCATAATAATTCCTTTTTAAAGAACTCCAATTGGTTTCTTTTTCATAAATTGTAATTTGGTCTCGGCTAAAAAATCTTGAAAATTTATGGGCGTTATACGTGCCCTTGTTGATTTGTGGGGAGTAAATGTTTTTCAGTCTTAATTCTAATAAAATCAAAAGAATTATTGTTTCTCTTATTTTTAATATATTGATAGTGGAATCAATAAAATTTCTAGCATCCACTAGATTAGTACCTACTGATAGTAGTTACTTATTTTGTGACTATATTATTATTATAAATGGCTAAAATAACGTGATTTATATTAACCCATTAATATAAAAGACCAGAGGTTTCGACTGAATCATGAGTAGAAATTTCTGAATTAAGAGCTCTATTAGAAAAGTTTAATAATACTTCACCAATAGCCTCAAAATTCTCATAAATGATGTGAGATTTTCTAAATGACCAGTCCACCTCTAGTATAAAAGTCTCAGAGTATGGTTTCCATATTTACAGGATACGTTAAAGCACCTAAAATATTATACAACGCATTGGATAAATTAAAAAAATTAGAGATGATAACAAAATTACTCTACCTATTTTTAACAACAAGATGCAACATATGGTTGTAGCAATTTATAAAAAGAACCTCTTTATTAATTTTTTTTTGGAAATAGGGTCTGCACTCCTTCTTTTCGGCTAGAAATAACGATTGTCTCATCATATGCTTGACTTATCATATTCGTTGAATTAATATTTAACTCATTAAGTTTTTTTTTTTTTTAAATAACAACCTTTTATTAAGAATTTTATAATATTTAATACATTGAACGTTAAAAGTAAAACATATATACGTAATTTAAAAAAATATATATATTAAAAATGTCATGTAAACTCTTTATATAAAATCTATATAAAAAACTGTATAATAAAAAATAAAATAAAATAATTAGTATAGTAAATTGTATGTTGGGCGGGAGGAGGTCAAGAAAGAGAGACATGGATGGCAATTCAGTTAGATCTGCATATATCAATAGATATGCGCTGTCTGAGATAGAAACCTTCCTGAGGGTCACCAGTGATGGCGCGGATTTTTTTACCGAGGGATTTGAAGAAGGTTAGGGCATGATTGCCAAAAGACCCGGTTGTGTCGGATACGATTGGTATGAGATTGCAATTTGTTAGGGAAGTGTATTTATTAATTTTCGAGTTTTCAGCTCGTATGAATGAGTTCTTATTAAAGGAGGGAGCAAATCGGTCGATGCAGGTATAGTCCCATGCTAATGGAATTCCAGTACTCCATGGTATTAATGTCAGCCCATCTGGACGTATATTATTCTCAGTTGAGAGGCCACAGAGTTCGAGGGTTGCTGGAATTTGAGCTGAGCCTAGAGCATGGAGAATGGTGCCGTTAACTGCACTGTGTCGAGAATGTCTACCTTTAGAGAATCGACAATGATAAGGATGATGTCCAAAACAATCAACGGGTTGGGAACATAATGTACATGTGGAGTTGGCCAGTATATTACAACCAAGACGGAGATTTATTGCTATGCGTAGTTCTTCGTTTGTTAAGAGAAGTCCTAAGTTTGAGCTGGGCAAAGCTTCTAACCATTCATAGCCCGATAGGGAAGGCAAAAGTTGTGGAACTTGCAGTTGTGGGAGAGAGAGATGATCAACTGTTAAGGATTCATCAACTGTAATGGGAGATAATAAATGTGAAATGATTGATGGGGATCCCTTAGAAGCAGCACCTGATATTAGATATTCAACGGAGTGGCGTATTAAGGGAAGATCCCAGTCATGTTGCTTTCGTGATGTGGGGATTGGAGCGGAGGAGGAATTCTCTTTCCAGATTGCTAGGGCGTGGGGAAAGTGGGGGTCTGTGGGGTTATTGTTAAGTGATAGCATAATTAAGCGGGAGCTTGAGGCTAAAAAGGCAGCAAGGCTGAGTGACGCGGGTGATCTTAAGCCAAGACCCTCAAATTTCGAGGGTAAGGAGGCCTGCATCCAAGAATTAGGGCTGAATTTTATATTAAGGATGCCTTCTAAAGAGTCTTTGATTGTTGATACTATTTGGGCGAGAATTTCCGGGTATAAGAAAAGTGGGGCAGAGCGGAAGGCATGTTGGATTTTTGGGATAAAGAAAAAGTTTTTGAGAAGGAAGAAAGCTTGATGGGAGGGAAGGACTTGAAGGATTTTAAAATGCAATTAGTAATGC